AATTCCTGACATTCTTGATATTGGTTTTTATTTGGTGTAACTGGTTATGTTCAAATGTTGGTTGTTTGTATAGGTTCTAATTCAATAAATCAATGACAGTACTGGGTTGTCGGTACTGGGTTGCAGTGAGAAAAATTGATCTTTAACTGCAGCATCATCAATGTAGAAGAAATAGATCGCTAAACATTGAAGGCCGGCGGTTTGTTTGTCTTAAAAGCGGCTAAAAGCCACCGGCACTTGAACCCCTTTGATCATTTTAACCCATTAAATTTAACCAGTGGGGTGTAACAGGTGTATATGAATAAGGTGTATATGACTGAACTACGCAGTCGAGCTTTAGACGAACCTAACACGAATTCCATTTTATCTCTCAGTGAATTTCGTACATTCGGTAGAAAATGGCAAAAGAAATAAGCACTTTGGCCGGTGCTTTCGCAACTGTTGGTACAGCAACATTAGCTGGTGTTAACTTCGGGCAAGTGAAAAAACTCAATGGTGCCGTAGAATCATGTGCAAAGTACACCGGTAAATCATTTATGGAAACGTCTGTACGCCATATTGGTGAAACAGCAGGAAAGGGAGTTGCCACAGCAGCCACCGCAGTTGCAGCAGGCGTCACTTTTGGCCAAGTCGATGCGCTTAATGAAGCCGTGGTAACATGCGCTTAAGGCACTGTGGAAAGTTCAAAAGCAGCGGCCAAAGCGACGGCGAGTACCCTTAACGATGCTGTCGACGGGGTTCCTGGTGTAGGTCACGCTAAAGGAGCCATCCATTACCTTGTTGGAGATGAAATCGGCGGCGACAAAGCCATGAAATCCGCTTCCAGGACTGTCGGAGTGATTGCTGGTGGTGCTGGTGGTTTTGTCGTAGGTGGCCCCGTGGGTGCTGTAGCTGGAGGAATCGCAGGAGGTGCAGCAGCGGACGCTATTATATCTGGTGCTGATTCTGCCGTTCACAAAGAGTGGCGTCCGCATGGCCAAATAGCTGCATGGGACGCCCTTGCAAACGCAAAGACCGACGATGAGATCATCGATGGAGTTATTGGTGTTCTTGTAACTCCTGCTTTTGATGCACTCGGTGGAATTAAGGCTGGAAAACGTTTTGCGCCAAAAGCTGGTAAGCCGCGACCAGCTTCAGTTGCCAAGCCTAATCTTCTTAGACCGCCAAAAGCAAATCAAGCGCTCAAAGCTGGCAGAGGATCAGGAGGACCGGGAGGGCCAGGAGGGCCAGGAGGAGCGGGGGGCTCAGGAATGGGTGAACGACCAGGATTATCCATGACCCACGCAGAAGGTTTTCACCAACACTTTGGAATGAGTGATGAGCAATTTGCAACTTTTCAAGATCAAGGAAATGGGACGTTCATTGCCACCCAGGGCTTTGATTTTGTCCATGCAGTGTTGACAACCAACGATCACCCAACAACTATAGCGATCAACACAGCAACTCAACAACCTGTGCAAGCAAGTGGCGCAGGCGCATTGTGGCAAACGTGTACAGGAAGCCCTATCGGCTCAAATCCCTGTGCTGTTAGCAACTGTACCAATATTAACCGTGACTGTTCAGTGCATCCTCAACATGCAGGTGCTACAGCCCATGTTTACCTAACAAGCCAAACACCAAACCATCAAATAGAATACATGGTGCTTATGCCAACGTGTTGTGGTAATAATAATCATTTGCAATGTCACAACAATAATACGAACTTCCCCTTGGGTGGTCAAGAAGCCAATGTTTTGCAAGCAAGGCCTGGTACTCCAGTGATGTTCATTCGAATTGACAGAAACACAGCTGGGCGTAAAGGTGGCAAGGGGAGAGGAAAAGGAGAAGGGGGATCATTTGGACCACCCTTTGGCCACGATGGAGGCGACGGCAATAGCGGTGCTGCTCATTAAAGACAACAATCAGCAACCGAATCTATCTCCTGTGATATCTTTAACTGGAACATGTCATGTTACATGAAAATTTACATTGCTACATTGTGTGTTAACGTGAACTTTTTGAGGATATCTCGTGATTTGGTTGCAAATTAGTTTTATCCTAACGAAGAGCCATGAGAACAGGCTGTTACCCTGCTGAGTGTGAGTGCAGCAGTTTCACTTAACCAGATAACTTTTTTGAATTATATTTCCCGAAGGGCGGGGAGGGGATAAGTCCGAAATAAAGAACGGGGATTCCGAGAAATTTTCGCAGAATATATCTTGCGACCAAGGTTGACTGACATTTGTGAAAGCAACCACGTATATATATAAGGTCACTTTATTGCGTTTTTTTTTTTAAGCGTTCACACTACGCCGGAGAATTTTGAAAACGCAGCTTTACTTCTACGGTTAGGCCTACCGCCCACACTAATCTGTCACGAAAACGGAGCTTTTCGAAAACGCTCACGCTGGCTTTGCGTTTTCGTGTGGACTGAAAACATTTTGAAAACCGAAGCTTTCATTTCGAAAACGATGGCGTCACGATTACTATGTGATTTCCCTAACCGAGTTTTCCTCAAACACAAATCCAAAATGACCTGTGATCGTTGCGTTTTTAACCTCCTCCGGCGTAGTGTGAACGGAAAACATTTCGATGAGTTTTGAGAGTGAAACTACGGTGCACATAGATATGGAAAAGAAATGGGGGAGACGATTGCGAAAATTCAGTGTAAAAAGCATATTAGAGGTGAGGTGAACCAGCGACTGAGCTCTTTTTCCCAGTAGTGCTGAGAAAGAAGATCATCGCAGTTACGTAACGCCCGAAAAAAATTCATTTTTTCTCAACAGTTCAAAGTTGAAATATCAAATTTCTTCGCAGTTCTAAAAGTATATTACGGTCTCACAACTTGACTAGCTCCCAGTTGGCCTGATAGCTCAGTTAATAGAGCACTACGCCGGTATCGCCGAGGTCATGTGTTCGAGTCCCGTTAAAGCCTGAATTTTGTTCACGCGTTATTTTCACAACTAGCCTGAGTGCGTAACTGCGATGATCAGTAATGTCTTGAGGGTATAATCTGCTTATGCCGTTTTGTTCAAGGCATTATATAGAATACTGAAGAGTCATCACACTTAATATGCACTGATCAACATTGCGGGTCCAAACAGATCAATTATCTCCATTTATATGGCTAGATTCGAGAGCAGTGAAGATAAACTAAATACTGTGTTGTGATCTGTGCTACTCCAGCGAGCATAATATGGCTATGTTGTCCGTTCGGGATTTATCACGCGGTATATTAGATGTTGTATTTACCAAGTTTGCTTGGTCACGATGGCTGGATATTTACTTCGCTCTATTTTCCCTGTGGTTATGAATCCCAATTGCGTCATAAACATGCTAAAAAAAGAACTTTAACAATATCCGGCAACCATTTTGACGTCACTTGCACTTGACTGACGCACCAATCAAACCTGAATCATATTGGTTGACAGAAAGCACTATAGTCGGGAATAGAAAAGAGCCTGGACTGATGTATCTTCGACTGATCTTGAGAATGGAAGTATACCAGCAAGAATCACATGTAAACTTAAAATGAAACTTGGAGCTCATTGAATGAAGCGCACGCTAATCCCAACCAACTTCCTACAAACAGCTTGCTTATCTTAGCCAGCGGTGCAGCCGGACATGCATGTTACAAAACCCTTAGTCTATACCGGTGTTGAACGACTGTCTGTCATGTAGGCTAGCTTATTTGGATTCATTATATAGACATGATTGTTTTACTGGAAAATATACCACCCGTGAAATTCACGCGAGAGCTAAGTCCGGGACCCGCGTGACGTATTTTCCATGTAGTGAAGATATTAATGACGTCATTTCCTGCTTTTCACGTTTGTTAGTGCAAAAAAATTACACGGTGACTTGAAGATATGAATTTTATTTTCTCGTGCCCACATCTTCAAGCAACCGTGTAATATTCCCTCCAAAGCCAAAATGCAAAAATAACTCATATCTTAATAGTCCTCAATATCTTACTCTTCGGAGATATTCCGGTTTACTAGCTCCTTGTTCGAAAGTCAAAAATACTGTTCTCGAGTTAAGTAACACAAATTAGTTCAAGTAAATGGTAAAGGAATATCTTTATTAATGAGTTTGCAATGAAAACTGACTTTTATTGGTGAATGAGAAGCGCACTCGCTTACCCCTTTGTGTTGTAACAATGAAAACTTTTTGGTCAAAAATAGACAAGCGTCTCTTAAGTGGCGTTTCCGGCCTTTTAAGAACGGAAATATCAAATCAAAATGTCAACACTTAAAATAAGTCGACGTGCAAAGTCATGTATACCAAAATAAACGAAGAAGCCCATTACAAGAAGCAATTTTAGGCGATTCAACCAATATTTTTATGTAGGTACAGAGAAGATTTTCTAACTATAGCTATGTAAAAGTAAACGGGTCTTTCGTGAAAGACTTGCCCTCGTTTTGAAAGAAAATCGCGGAGTTGAGCCAACTATCCATCTTCACTTATGAACAGTCGTATGTTTTTATTTTTTAATTTTAAGTTCAAGTCTTATTTAGTATCGGGGGAATTTAGTGTTAGATGAACTTCGTGAGGGAATTAGGGCGAGTACGGTGAAAAAAAGAAGAAAGTATTGGAATTATTCGGAAGTGGCGTGCGTTGTAGGAGGGGACGGCTGGTAAAAGGACCAGCTATGCGGGTTTGAAGAACGAAATCGCACTAATGGATTAAACATCACTTGAATCAGTCTTTCCTTTATAAAAATAAATATTATAGCTGAACTGAGAGACGGATCAAATAAATAGGCCACTCCACTAAGTAGATTACAAGTATCGCGCGCGAGAGTAGTGAAACGCGCGGGCTCTGAGGATGAGCTTGTGCCTATCTGACGTCCACAAGCAGATTAATCTTTGGTCAGAAGATCTCTGAGTTCAAGAGGCAGTAATCATGAAGATGGCTTATGGATCTAATACAAAAACATCTAGCAAACAAGCCTTTCAAACCGCGATTCACTTCTTGCTTACTCGACGATCTGGGAGTGAAACAATATTCTGAAAGTGAGGCTAGCCATCTGTTTCGACGACGCCGTGTGACGTCATTCAAGATGGCTTCCGGCCGGTAGAGTGAAGTTGTGTTTATTTTCAGTGGACAGCTTGCAAGCTGTTCGACTCTTGTACATTTCGCTTTAATGTGAGACCAGAGTTTACGGCCTTTGTTTGATACAGGGCCTTCCAGTATTTCACGATCGGATCAGCAACCCTTTGAGTCGCAGTTGCCTTGGTGTGGAAAATGTTGATCAAGGAATACAGAATTCCTCTGCCAATGACTGTGGATGAGTACAGGATAGCGCAGTTGTATATGATTCAGGTAATCCTTATGTCTGATTATTACCTTGTATTTTCTAACCGTCTCGGAGGTTCCATCATATTTCGTTGCCACTGCAACTTTGCTTACCACCTTCACGGTCTGTTTGGTGCGGCGTAGTGTGTGTACGATGTACACAGTTGTCTAAGTCAAGCTTAAGCTTATGTACGGCGCACTGAACAGGCCGACGAAGGATCGAATTTTTTTTTCTTCCCCCTGATAAGCTTATATATATTTACAAGGTAAATGTCAGGTCGCTGATGCCATTTATCGTTTTGAACGGGGTTTTCTGCTTTGGAACGCGCTGAAAAATCGTGCTTCGCTGGGAAAAGTCAATTTGTTCCAAGTTCATTTTTGGTGCATCTCCTTTCGTGACAGGAGTTGACAGAGTCAGTTGTTCTATGCATACGAATCGAACTTTAACTAAAACAAGATGAATCATACGATCAAAGACCTGAAATGGTTTAGGATCACTTAGGCTTTTGGTTCGAAATCGGGATCAAAAGTCAAGATATGTGAGTGGATTATTCATATTTGGGGATGTTTTCGTGATGTACTTGTTTGCCCAGTTTGCGAGAGTTTGTCAAATCGAAGTGAAATGCACATTTGCATGTCAAATTGTCTGTGGAGTTGACACATCTTAACTTCGCGTGGGCGGACGCACATGTTTTTGGCTTGAAGTCAAATTTTCCTTCTTCTTTGAATTCCAAACCACCTCTCTGTTTTCCATGTTTGTCTTTACATGCGTGGCCTTAAACCGTTAGATGCTTGATGTGATGTTTATGATGAAACTGTGATCTATGGTTTCAAAAACGACTTTCAAACTGTGAGGAACTGAGTTTCGATTTTATTGCCTTTGTCACAGCCTTTCTGAATTTTTTTAACTTCAAAGGAATAAAATCCCTGGAGGCAGATTTCTACCTAATGTAATTGGATTCATGATTTTAATTATGACATTTGATTCAAGGAATTATTTTTCCTTGCCCAATAGATAGTGAATTCTGACATTTTCTGATGGAATAAAAAAGTAAAGTCAGGATTGAAATATACCTCTCACCTGTTCTGCGGTTATAAAGTCATAGCATTTCATTTTGAACACTGTCAATTAATGTGTGTAACATGGGTCATTATAAAGTGACATAATAGGCTAGCTTGTTTGGTTTCTACAGCAGTGCCATAGACTAGTCACAATTACAAAGCAAGTGTTTGCCTCTAATTATTGTGGTGCACCTCTTGGTTCAATTAAGTACTTTAATATGCTCGTCTGAACCTCAAAATTGAAAATCCACAGAATATTCATTAAATGGAGTTATCTATACTCTTCTGTTTTTAAGTAAGAACAGGTGAATGGATATAGATTTAAGTTGAGGAACAATATATTCTGAATGAAAGTGCCAATTTTTTTGCACCTTGGAAACGCAAGTATTTTCTGGCAGTGTGCTGTTTTTTTGTTTTGTTTTTTTTTTGCAGAGTGTTGTTTTCATGCAGTTTCAGTCCATTTTATGTTAGCAATAAGCTCTTTATATTATTTCATTTTTTATTTATTTTCCAAATTGCCAAGAAGCAGAATTCAGCAAATTAATACTATTACTTATTTTCGATGCAAAAAATAATTTTGTATGATGTAAATAAAAATTACATGTAGAGTATAAATAATGTAAATCATGGGAGTGAATGCCAAGGTAAAAATTCTCAGGAAACAAGTTTAGTCTTTATACCATATTTAGTTTATGACAAGCTCAATAGACACTGGGGAGTGGAGGGAGGGAGCAAAATAATGACATGCAGTGACGGTGATAAATAATGACAAATGTTCTTAGCCTTTCTCTTAATTAATGTTTGTTCCCAGTATTTTCTAAATGTCTTTAATATACACTGTACATGACTTTTGTAAATTATTCGTTAAATTATACATATAACTGAGAAAATGTGATCATTGTAATTAGCTGAGAGCATGCCAATTTATTGTTAATTTTAATTTGCACTGAAGTGCAAATTTATACACATGCGTTTGTAATTTGGAATAAGTAATCGCGTGAAAGCTCTTGCTATTAAGGATTTACACTCCTCATGATATTTGAAAATTCTTTCAAATTGCACTTGCCTAAAGGCTCTTTGAGAGAATGTCACAGATGGTGTTAATTCTTGATTGCACTCGATCCCATTCATGTGATCAATTGCCTATAATACTTATTTCTCAGTAATTTTCGTATGTCTTGCAATTCAGAGTTCTTTTAATTCCCAGCAAAAATTTACAGTTGTTCCTAAACAGTACTAGCCAGAGTTATTTCTCCTACTAAACGGATTTTGTCCACTTAGTTCACTGGCTTAATTAATTCACACTAGAGATGAGAAACTTGTCCGAGACAGGCTTTCATCTGTGATGTGAACAGATGTAAAACAGGATGATCGAGATATGGTTTTGATGGGAAACTAGTTCAAATTTAGCCATTTTCTTAATATCCATCTGAATCAATGAGTTTTTGTTCCTACTATATGGGAAACTTGTTAAAATCGTTCTCAAATTTACTCTTAGACAGTTAACTGAACATAGTTTCGAACAAAATTCCACCAAAAAGACTGTAACTACATGTAAGACAAAAGATAAGCACTAAATATGTGGTATAACAAGACAGGGCCTGAAAGTGGCATCTAACCTGTGGTAATGTGAGGTTATGAAGGTAATTAAGAGTAGGCAAGTAAGGTAAAGTCTGCATACAAGCCTGGAGGCCCAGCAGGCCAGCACTAATATCTCTGGTTTCAGTGGCATGAAGCAACTAGGCATAATTCTACTCCACCCTTGATGGGATGCTAGTCCATCGCAGGGTTACTCCACAGCATTAAATTTGCTGGTACCCATCTATACACCTATGTGGAGAGAGATACTGTGAGAATTATGTGTCTTACCCAAGAACACAACACAATGTCCCCAGCCAGGGCTCAAACCTGGACCTTTTGATCCAGAGTCAAGTGCACTAACCATGAGGCCACAGCACTTCCCACTAGGGAAGGCAAGAGAAGACAAGTGCTGCATGGCAAATTCATGGTATAGTATCACGTAAAGCTTGTCAGACAGGTTTGTTGTCCTCTAATGTGAACAAAGCTATTATGCACAATTACCTTGAGACAATTTCACAACTATCCAAGAAAATCAGTAAAAGTGGTGTGATAGAATACTCATTTTGACTGAGTTAGGGTGGATCAGTGGAGTGGGCATGCTTCTGATCCTAACCAGATGCTGACATAGGACCCTCCAAAGGAAAATGACCATACATTTAATACTTTTACACCTAACTGTATGAATCAGTAGGCTTTTAGGATGTGTAGATTGTTGCACCAGGTTTTCCAAATTCTAAATTTTAGTGCAAGCTTCCTACAGTATTCGAACATGTCCAGTAAAAGCCCCAGTGCTGTACATGTATTTAATGTTGCAACATACATACATGACGTAATTAATTGCTCTGACCAAGGGCCAATACTTGAAATAACAGCTTCCCAGACTTGAAATAAGAAAAGACATGTTCTCCATGTTCCTATCGCGTTAATGAAACACTCGTGAAAATTTGGGAGAACTCAATAATGCTGTGTAAACACTCACCTGTCGGCTTGTGTTCCCACAGCATTTCTCATTCTCCCACACTTCAACACATGTTTCTATGAAACAATTAGATTATGAGCTCAACATTTCTGTGTGGGTGATAGTTGACGAGGGCGCAGCCAGAGTCAACTATCATGCACACAGAATCAAAAGCGAATAGAAATCGAGAGTGAATGATATATTTGTTTTAGTATAAATCTACTAGTCGTTCTAGACTTTTCTCTAAATCCTCTTCACAGACATTTCAAGATAATCAAGAAGCAGCCGTCATTTTGTTAGCAAGGGCACACTGCTACACTACTCACTATGTGACACAGAATAGATAGTGAGTAGCATAGCCAATCAGAGAATGTCATTTGTGATAGAACGCTAGTAGATTTATACTACAACTTGATAGAAACATGGTATTTAAATATGTCTTATATATATGTATTATGATATATCTGTAAGTCAAAACTCTTTCAAGGTTTCCCAGAAACACTTCTCATAAGGATTTCAAAAGTGCTTATCTTGAGATAGTACATGTATGTAACACTCTGGTAGTATGCTTCGGGATTGGTGAATGTTGGTGAGCCTATTTGGTAAGGACTTATTGGGCAGTTCCAGAAAATGTCCATGCTCCCCCCTTGGAAGGGATTGGAATTTCCTGGGAAGTGGGGGTTCTGCAAGACCAAAAAATTTAGAGAGATGTATGAAGCTTAACTGGTATTTCCAGAGGGGTGGGGAGGTCTTGAAAAAAATCCCTTCCATGGGGGAGGTATGGATATTTTCTGGAACTACACATCAAGAGGGTGGAGGTGGGGTACAATATTATTATTAAAAGGATATTTGAATTTCTAAATATTGTGTGGCCTTTTATGTTTGGTTCACATACATGTAAGTATACATGTATAATGAGATAAAATTCAGGCACAGGAGATTCAGTTACCTTTAGTTACCCTATAAATCCCCAGGAGTGATCAAAGTGTAATTTCTCAACGCAATACCAGACATTATCGAGAAAACAGGTGATGAGAATAAAGAAACTTAAGTAAGCAAAATTAAATTAAATTAAGTAGTCATCTTGATGTACTGCCAAATTCTCAGAACTGGTATTAAAAGATTTGTATGACTCTCAGTAAGAAGAATTTACATTTTGAACTTGGGACTGAAAGGGTTACATAAACATCACAAATATTTGAGCATGTTGTACAATGACATCAAATACAATTTTAAAAGTTCTAGTGAACAATAGGGGATGTATGATTGAAGGGTGTTAATATCTTTCTTTAAGAGCTAAATCTAAATCTAAGGTTATGGTGTTAATATTAGGACTTATGGTTGAAAGTAAGTCTTGACTTCAGATTTGGAAGCAGTTATGATATCCCTCAGAAAAGAAAATCAGAAACAGCAAACCAAATATCTTTAGTAAAGTGTTTCTACGAGTTGTACGGTTCTAGACACTGTGTACACTATAGATCATATGTAGCCTATGATGAGCTATAGTCCTTGGATGTCATATTGCTTTCTTCACATGTGAAATATGAAAAATGCACTTGTTTTTGTGGTTTCATAGACCCTTTTCATAAATGGCTGCCAATTATAAATTCTTTTGTAAATATTAAAATTAGCCTGACTAACCTCATTTTTGAGTTGGTAATTCAAAAGAATTTTTACTCTCAAACGAGTAACCATATAATAAATCCTGTACTGACAAGCTTGTTTGTTCAAGAAGGCTTGATATTAGCCTCAATCTTTTTTTTTGTGTGTGTAGACCTCAACTCCATCTTGGTCCATAAACACGGAAAAAAAGAACTTGGGCAATATCCAGCCATCTTGACCTCACGCTTGGTCAATAACCCAGTACATGTATACAGTATTTTGGCATGTCTCAGATTATACCATTTCTCACTCCTGCAAGATAGAGATACATGTATATTGAAGTCAAACAGGAGGAATTCTTTAAAATAGAATGGGATAAGTTCAGCTGGACATTAGTCACTTAACATCAAGTTACAGTGCCTTTCAATGACATGTGAACTAGTTTTAAAACCCAACTAACAGTTGCATCTTTAAGCTGTGAACAATGATTACAATGGTAATCAACACATTTTCTGAGAGGTCTGCAACTAATGACAGAAAAAATTACAATCGTTGACTGAGCAAAATTCACATGTGAGTTATTGAAAGGCACAGTAAAGTGAAAATGTTACATTAAATAATTTTACATGCTATATAAAATTGCATCATTCATGGAAAAGTTTTTTGCCTGGTGCTAGATATTTCTAATAAAAGTCAAATGGAATTGATTGTTAAATTTTTGATATAACACCAATTGATCATTCATCTGGTATTCAGACAGCGAGAGGTTTTTTCTTTTACAGCAAAATGAAAATTTAAAGTGATTTTGATGAAACTAGGGCGAACAGTTTTGCATCGAGATCCAGAAACAAAATCTTAAATTATTTACGACTTTTATGATTTATCCTGTGAGTGCATGTACAGTTGGACTCCCCTAGCTAATTCAAACTTATTTTGAATTCCCCATTATTTCAAACTCAAAACCATTTCCCTTGTATTTACCTTTCAGTCATCAATACTACTGGCCATTTCAAACTCTCACTATTTCAAACAATTTTTCATTTCCCCTGAGAGTTCGAAATAGCGCGATTCAACTGTAGTTGTACTTACATGTATTTAGTCTTATTTTCATGCATTACTTATTCATAAAGTTCATTGAGGTTTTTTGTTTTCTATGAGAAACAGCAGCAGCAGATTATAGATTGTTCCATGTACCAAAATCCTCTTTGTTAACTTCAATTTAACATGTTTTTGAGACAAATACAATCACATCAGCAAATTGTTTTGCAATGTTATATTCTGCTAAAAGAAAAATAAAATTTATGTTCTAAAAAACCAACATGAATTCTGTAAACACAGCTGTGAATATAAAGCACCATCTGTTATGGGGATATGACTCTATGCATGTTTTAGCTCTGACTTGTCTGTTCCAGTTCTTAATAAAGTGAAGACTGTAATTGCTACCCATTTCCGAAACAAAATGTGTAACAAGAAAATGTTGTCAGAACATTGTAAATATTTTGAATTTTTACATCTATTTGAAAAAAGTGAAAAAGAACTTCATAAATTTTATGTGTTGAAAATATGTGAAAAGGATTTTGTTTACCTTGCTTTATAAATTATTACTAATTGAATTCTTTTCTTAAATGAAGTACAACTTAACAGGAATGTTTTAAATAACTGACTGGTGGTTCATGTAGGTTTTAAGTTTGTGCGATCAGTAAGTGAAATCATAATGTGGAATTTGTATTTAAATTAGCATACTGTTGGAGGTTGGACAAATGAAATAAAATACAGAAGAAATGTACTTTTAGAGGTTGGAGAAACAACAAAACAAAGTTTAATAATTAATTAAAAAAAGTGACCTGTAATTAGCAGTTGAATTGAAGCCACTTATGAAATGAAGTTTGATTGGCTGTTATGGAGAAAGGATACACCCACGTGTACAGTAAAATATTTTCATCTTATTATAAAACACCCTGTAAGAGAGCTTGTGTTGAGAAACGTTTTTCTGTAATTCTATACATGTAGTTCTAAACAAAGAACTTAAGAGTGAGCTGTGGCTTACAAAAAAAAGTATTGTGACCTATTGATCACATGCACCAAGAGCTGGAATGTACAGTTAAACTCAATTACAGTTGAACCCCTATAAAGTGGCCACCTATCAAACAGCTACCACCCCTATATAGCAGCCAGTAATCAAAGTGCCGATGAAGGCTTTTCTATTGTTTTTACTTCTGTTAAGTGGCCAACCTCCTTTAAGTGGCCACTATCCATTTCCCCGAGGGTGGCTGTTTGATTGGGGTTGAACTGTAATCAGTTGATTAACTTGGCCAATTGCTCTTTTAGAAAAAGAGTCGACTGGATAGTGTTGGAGAGGGAAGTGGAGTAGAGATTCTTGAAAATACTCCTTACACAAATGGGCCAGGAGGTAATGGACAGTACACAAAGAAAATCTACCACATTGGAAACCATTTACCAAGCTGGCTGAAAGCTATCCTACCCAAGGCAGCACTGAGAGTAGAAGAGGAGGCTTGGAATGCCTATCCATATACCAAGATGAGGACCACATGTCCATTTGTAGAGAAATTTTTTGTTGATGTAGAAACGTACTATTACCCTGATGCAGGACAGCAGGTACACGTAAATGTAAAAAAAAAAATGTTTATAGTGGTCAGTGTGCTTGGAACAAAACCTACAGTGTACATGATGGTAGTTCTCAGACATGGCACACAAAGTGGACAAACATTAAACATACAAACAAACAGACAGATAAACAAACATTATTGATAGACTTAAAAATCCCAATGGGCAGGAGGCACACCAGTTGGTTATTTACAAGCATGACTGAGGAATTGAACTAGGGTCTACTGAGAAACAATTCCATTGTCAGTAGTGGTCAGAGCTGGACATAAACATGTGACCTCTTGATTTCAAGTCTAGTGCCCTACTTGACCACGTTGCCTCCATGTTATGTATTATTTATGTCTTAGTGGGATAAGATAGCCGCAAGCCAGACCTACTGCCGCTAGTGGTGCAGTTTATCTTGTTACAAATAAGCGTTATTGGTTGTCCTTGCAGGAAAATGTATTTAATTTATCACCAGTTGACCTCCAAGGAAGGGAAGTTGGTGAGTTTATTTCTCTGGGTTATTAATTTCAGAAGTGATACTGTCTGGAAAGTAGGTGTTAGTTACCTCTTTGTTGCACATGTTGTTTATTAAGATGCCAAGTTGTGGATTAAGCTTGGAATGATGTTTAACTTGTGTCAATGGTACATCTCTTAGTTGTTATTCTTCAATGAATAATAAACAATCATTCCAATTATTTAATGTGGCTAAATATAATTTAGGCAAAGTTAGACTCGAACCAATGGAGCTAGTGGTTTCTACTTTGACAGTACATGACCTGCAGGGCGGTCCACAGGAGATTTGCAGGGCTGTTGTGCTTCACTGCACTACATGTGCAGGATATGAGTTAGCTATAATCATCTCATATCCAACAAGCGCGAATGGAGAAATAGTTTTATTAAAAACACCCCCAAAATATAAAAAAAAAAACTAAAATAAAACTAAAAGTGTTCCAAAAAATCACGCAAACGCTTACCATATTTGTAGAGCATATTATAGTGGCTCAAAACACATGATTTCTAAGCCAATGAAAACTCTTGAATTGCATTATCCAAAGATCCAGTTTTTAATAATACCCTGTAGGTGCCTTTACTTGTTCCACTGGGAGTTACATTGTATACCAAGCATATTACCCCAGTCTGGTGAGCTGTTGGTGTTTCCAAGATTGTTGCAGGCTGTTGTAGTAATTTTCACATTGAAACAAAGACATATATTTAAGTGCAGCTGTGCTGTCCGGATTGCTAATGGGACACCTTGATTTGAGGAAAGCTCCCCCTCAAGATGTACAGGTATAAAAAGAACAGTTTCCACACCTTAATATCTCCACCAGTGTAAATATATTGAATTGACATTGTTTGTGACTTGCAGATGTAATTGACCCAATCAAGGACCCAGTATCCTACTCAGACTACCTTGAAGAAGAAGATCCTTTGTTATACAAGTCCACAAAAACAGGGCGGGGCCCCATGAAGGAAGACTGGCTTGAATACTACAGAGTAGATAAGCCACCCTCTGATGTCATGTGTGCGTACAAGCTTATAAAGGTCGAGTTTAGATATTGGGGAATGCAGGTTAGTATAGAAAAGTTTCACAAGTGTTTTTTTAACTCACTGTTGGCAGGCTCTCGTTAAGTTATAAGACAACTAACAACTGCCTCACAAAGTGGAGGTTCCCTGTTGGGTGCCCGAGGCATCCAGGAACTTCCACCATTGGCAGCCAGCTCCTAGATGCAGACTGCTCCCGTGGCTGGCAAATCCTGGCAACCCAGCCATGAGTCCCCCTCCTGAAGGGAGAACAAACAGGCACCCGCCGCACTAATTAAACAGCGGAAAGAAAGGGGAGGGTCAGGGGAGGGGAAAAAACCTCGAAGAAAATTCCCCACGCCAGAAACAGACACTAAAGAAAAACCCTGACAACGTGAAACTTCTTCAACGCCATGTGGCCCAAGAACAAGGGGGAATCCTAGCGCATGCACAGATCTAAACGCCGCTGACCGCAAAGGCAAGACTTGCGCTCCTTGTTGTTAACTCCGTTAAATTGGCAAACAACTTTGAAACAAAGATATCACAACTGTGACAGTGTTCGGAAATGTGTTGTCAATTAGCACAGATATATTTATACGATTTTGTTTGTTCATTTTGTCGTAGTTTTTTTAGGATTGAAAAGACATATCAAGCACTCCAGAGAGTTTTATCACATTTCCAAACACTTCGAAACTTGTCAGTCAAAAGTTCCTTTTAGCTTGCCTCGTGTCACTTGTTTAAGTGCGCAGAGAAATCCACTGCTAAACCAAGTCTAAACCAAGTCTGTTTGCTTATTCTCAGAAAGTGCGCACTATATGACAGTTTTTAATCAGGTAATTGTGATCTCTTGATTTTTCTGATCTTATGGTTGTATTCAGGGTTGCAAAAAAGGGCGCTAAGGGTTATATTTCAACTCTCTTCTTGAGTCGCGTTTGGAAATGTGAAGAAACGCCGTCTCTTGTGTTCTATATCTGGTTACAGAAATTGCGAGGAAGTTTACAAAAGCGATCACAACACTGATGGTTAAGAAACTTGCTCTAAGCTTGCAACTTGCATAAGAACGCCGGGAGTCTGAATAGTTGAGAACCAACACTTTTTCCTTTCCCTTTTTCAGAATAAAATTGAACATTTCATTCACTCGGGTCTGCGTCGCCCGATGTTAATGGGCCACAGACAAGCATGGGTGTGGCAGGATGAGTGGTACGGGCTCACAATCGACGATATAAGACATCTGGAGGAAGAGACACAGAGAGTATTAGCCAAAAAAATGGGAAAACTTTCTGACCACGTTATCAACAACACTCCTTCGGATCGAGAGAGCGATCAAGAAGTGGGCTTCGCAAATGACAAAGGGCGGGGAAGTGTAGTTTACGTACAAGAAAACAACAACAGCACCAAACTAGAACTGATTTCTAAAACTTCACTAGACGAAAACGAGGGAATTGTATCTCCCTCACCCGTCGCGATAACAGTGGAAAAATTCGGATTTGATAAAGATGAACCTAGCAAAAACTCGTACGGGTTCGAATGCAATGGCTTAGGCCAGAGAGACTTGAGTTCTACGGCGGATACTTCTGCGGGGAGGCGACTGTCACGTGCGGATATAGTAAAAGGTTGGCACATGAGTACGATAGAAGCTAATGGATCAGATTCCGAGAATGACGAGTTTTTCGACGCGCAAGGTAAGATATTACTTGAAATTTGTCGCACTGTATATCCTTGCTCTTTAAAAAGTAGAACTCGATTAACCTCCCCCCTCTCAGTTTACTCTTAATTTTGTTTCGCACGACCATGTATTCGACACTCGATCTCCCCATACGCTCTAGCGAAGGACCAACCCACGAAATCTCAGTCTTTCGAATTTGGAATGGCGATTAAGTTGCCAGTGTATAGTCACAGGTAAACTTAATCAAGTTAGTAAACTGTTTCACTTTCTCGTCGCCACAGTATAGCAGGGTCTTAAGGAAACTATGCCTGTAACTTTTTTCGTTCAGTTTTGGAATAGAACTTCAATGTTGATAAAGGTTTTTGAACTTTCAGCTATTGGTGCATAGTGTACATATTAAATTTTGTTAAAACATTTCACTCTTGATTTAATTTTAAAAAAAAAAAGTGCAGGAAAGTTGATAATCTTGACCAAAAGTTACGTCTCCCTTCGATTTACAAGAAGAGTGAAGTCTAAACTCCCTTTCCCTCCATTTTCCTGTCTTAATACGTTTACGGTCTCATGTTTGTTGTCAGCTCTAGTTTCTCGTTTTATCAGAGATACCATGAACACAAATGTGTGTTTTTCCTAGTCCATATGTACTTCGACTTTGATTTTTTCAGTCAATAGTCTCAGTAAAAGATCAGTGAAATTCCTTTTGTGTGGAGATCAGTCTGCGCGAACTTTGTTGTTTCGAATACAGCAAAGACAAGCTTTTCGAAAAAATATAGAGATTCTTGTGATCTTAAAAGGGATCAGTCACGGTATTTTGAGTTATTTTTACCACATACAAAATCACATTTAAATGGTAGGAAACCTGAAAATAACAATTTAATAAGATAGAAAAACACCAAGGAGATAATGATAAACCATAAAGGAACAAGGATGGCTAAGGATGGAGAAGATTAACACGGATTACAAACGACGAATTTGAAAAATTGAGGCTAAACTTTTCAATATGCGCAAACCGTGACTGAGCTCCTTTAACATCTCTTGATAATTTAGCACAAGTCCACTTGCGTTCTATCAGGACAGAATGTCGTTGTCGTATTGGCTACGCTACTCACTATATCTATACCATTGTAGATAGTGAGTAGCCTAGCAGTGTGCGCTTGTTAACAAAATGACGGCCGCTTCTTTTCGTTTCTTATACTAAAACAATATTAGATTATTCGCTCTCGAATGGCTTTCTCCCCTTAATTTGCCAATGGAGATCATATCTTCATCTCGGAAAGTAACACAGAACCTACGGTAATCGTCTTGTTAACCTTCTTTGCTGCCTTCATACTAAAGGTTCATTTTTGTATGGTGCTTATTGCAGAGGAGCTCGAAGAGAACCCTTTCAACACGAATCTGCTGTCCATACGTAACGTGGAGCTCAGTAACAGTTTTAAGAGTCTAGAGTTGGACACGGATTCCTCTCGGGGTAGTGGAGAGTCTTTAGATTCATTGGCATCTTCTGTTGTTGACGACCAGAGCTTGGTAAGATCAAGAGCGTCAAGTAACGTGCACCAATTGTACCTACAACAACAGCTAACTCTCACTCTTACAATTCAGTTCTTTACCGAGACACTTTTTTTAGCTTTTTGATATATTTTCTTGTTTCCTGCATACGTTTGAGGCCCTGTGTTCTGCTTGTAAAACGACCAAAATGCTGAAGAAATTTTTCGCCACATAATTGCAGTTTTTCTGTAGTCTATAATGTGGATTCGTTGTGCATGTTTTTAAAGATACGAAAAAAGGCGCGAAGGTTTTGACGTGTCATTGAAGTTGTAAGCGCTGATTGGTTAATCTGAAGATGCTTCTGCATTGCGGAAGTGAAAAACGGCGCCAATTTGATGGTACGTCATTGATGTTCTGCCAGTTGATTGGTTAAAGAAACTAGAGTTGCGAGGTTGAGTTGACCTGTTGTATGTTAGATTTCTCTGCGAAGCTAACCTCATTTCTTTTTCAAAATACTTTTCCTTGCAGTCTCCTCGCCTCATCCGGAAACAGAAGCTATGTAAGAAAGTCAGTGATACCTCCACGTGCTCGTTACCATGCTCTCGCATCACAACCTTAATCCTTGTCATCCACGGAGGTACTCAAATAGACACGGGACTGGACCCCACATCACGTGACATGGATTTCAAACTACTCCATGATGCATTCGAGGCCGTGATAAATTCTCATTACAAAGGGGCGGTGGGAAAAATTGCGTTGAGACTTGTGGAGTGCCCTGCTATTTGCTCCAAGGCACTTAATCTGTTGTCTCAGCTGTGTCCTTATTCGGAGAGTGATTCAGGTAAGGAAGTGAATTCCGTGAAACAGTCAACATTAACAACAGCAACAAAAATCTTATTTTACTTTAGAGTTAGAGAGTACAATATTGTAATGTAAAAACAAAAATGATAGGGGTGCTGGCTGCCTGAAATAGCCTAAGAGTTAAAAATGCCAGGCAGCTGGTGAAAAGAAAAGATATTTTACATGTTACGGTCAGAGGCACAAATAAACAAACAAACAAACAAACATAGACACACATAAATAGAAATAAACAATTGTAAGCTAACTACCAGTAGACTTAAGTTGTTATATTGCAAATCAGTGTTTTTATCCAAGAGGAGCGATGTACAAATATCTAATAATCTCTGATTAAGTGTTGTTTCATTTTCTTTTTAAAAACCAAGACAATGAAGCTGGTTTCATATCTTCATCGATGGAATTCCATAGTGATGGGCCTTGAAATCTTATGTTGAATATTCTGAAAATTTTAGTGTCAGTGAAATAAGATAAAAATTAATTAATGTTTCTTCTTTTGATTTTCTGGTTTTCAGATGTGGCTAGTGTCAACAGCGGTTTCACTCCAGTCTCCAGTAGTTTTCCTCTGAGCGCAATTTCTCTCATGGTTTCTTCCTCGCCATTTTATGACGAGGCGGTAAATTCCATGGTAGTCGCCACAAACATGGCTTATAAGGAATTTCTTAGATCTGACGAAGGCCAAGGGTTTAGAGGAGAGGTGGGTACAAACATTAGACATGGCTTCTAGTGTAAATTGTCATCCTGATGTCCATAATGTCCATTGTTGTTAACTCTGGCGTTGTTACGTTCGATTTGACTCTTGAACGTTTTTAAAGTTGTGTGCTGTGGTTTTGGTTTCGTTAAGTTTTTTGGCTTGACCAGAAAGCGCGCGCAACATCATGGGGCGCAAGACTCGTGCACCTTGTGTCAACTAATCAGAAGAACATCTTGTGCCAATCAAGGGAGTAAACCTAAGACTCATTTGTCTTACGTTATGTTTCCCGCCCTTATTGCGGATTGCACATCGTGTTTCCAGATGTGATTGGTTCATTCTGCTTTGGTAGCACTGTCATTGGCTCTTCTAGTGAATTGTTCCGATTTTTACTTTCATGGAAGTCTTTGAACGAGGGGTCAAACTTCGCGGTTAGCTGCCATTTACCTCAGACGAATGTCAAAATTTGTCAAGTAATTTGTCTTGGAACCCTGATATTTTGTCATTAAAGTGGTACTTTTTTAAGGTAAATCGGCGTTTGAGAGTTACCATCTACATATGGAGTTTCGCTCAGTTGACGTTTCTTATGCGCTGTTTTATGTCTCTATCTCAGGTTTGTCTTCTTGGTGACTGTATGGGCGCCCTGCTCGCGTACGATGCTCTAACCTTGAGTGTGAACAATTTACGAAGTAGGACTCAGAGTTTCCTCTCGAATACGGCTATGCTTTCCCCAAACGCTGCCTCGTCCGCGCCGCAAAACACGGCAGAGACAAACGGCGGCGTGCCAAGAAAACCTCGGCGCATCAGCAGTCACACGCCGCCAAGTAAAAGCAACCTGGAGAACTCACACAACCTTCGACTCAGTCTAAGCAGTGGAAACATCCGAGAAAACGTCGACCCTGAAAGAGACGAAATGATCACTTCGCCTCCGGTTGAAGAGATGGAGGACAACGTTATGAACTCACCGCGTCCTCTAAGCAAGGCGGCCAGACTGCAGACGTTTAGTTTCGAGACCATGTCGCTCTCCGTTGATTCAGTGGATCAAGTGATGTTTGATTTTGAAGTGTGCAAATTTTTCGCGTTTGGTTCGCCTATTGGACTTGTGTTAGCTTATCGTAGGTTCTTGAATGGAGAGGATAGAGATCGAGGAAGTCTCGGTGAGAATTGATTGTCAGTCGATTAGTTTTCTTTTTCTGTTATGTAATATTAATTTTTGTTTTCGAAACCCTGACTCTCGTTAAGTCAAAGCTCAAGTCAATTTACATTTAACGTTTTTGTTCTGGTTTAAGTGTCTGTCGATAATACCCTAGTGTGTGACCATTCAAATGAGAGCTATTGAGCAGTGCTTTCATGTGGTACCGTTTATAACGCTCCACAATGTGGTTCTGTGGTCTTTGGATGATGAAACCCTACTGTGACCATTCAAATGAAAGATATTGAGCAATACCTTCATATGGTACTGTTAATTACTCTCCGCAAGTTGGTTCTAACTTTTTTCAAGTCTGTGGATGATTAAACCTTCGTGTGTAACTATTCAAGTGAAAGCAACAGAGCAGTATTTTCATGTGGTACTGTTTGTTATGCTGCACAAGGTGTTCTTAACTTTTTGCAAGTCTATGGATGATAAAACTCTAGTGATTGGTCATTCAAGTGCAATATATTTAGCTGTGTTTTCATGAACTGTATAGGGTCGCTCCCATTTTCGAGTCTGTGGATGAATCCCAGCTTATGACGATTGAAATATAAGCTGTTCGTGTAGTGCTGTTTAAAATGTTGTTCAAGGTGGTTCTGAAGACCCTTGCAAGTCATTCTAACCATTTACTTCTTGTTCCCCAGCTGTGCCACCAAAGCCTGCTTGTAACCAAGTCTACAACCTGTTTCACCCCTTCGACCCGTCGGCGTCCCGAATTGAACCTTTGATCATGAGCCAGTTTAATCAAATCCCGACCGTAAGCGTACCTCGTTACCACCGGTTTCCATTAGGTGATGGCCAATCACATCTCCTTAATAACGTCATCGGTGCTTATCCAGAGTTGTTTGTGGCGCAGCCGCCCTTGACTCCTGGTGCCAGGTCCCGCCCGGGCATGGTTAGACGAGGAGACAGCAATCTAAGCACAACAAGCCTGGTGTCTAGTGACAGTTCTGGTGGCACGGACCTGGATATAGGTATGTGTATCCTTTAGTTTCATTCGATCCTTGGCTGTTCTGATCTAATTTTTTCAGTGAATAACTTGTTTTCAATTTTCTCCCGATTCGTTTATTTAGCACTTTCTCCCTTTTCATTACAATAATACAGTACATTATCATACACTCTTTCAAACTTACTATTTTCTAACTTATCTTATTTATTTTAGTACACATACACACTACATACCTCACAACACGCTTTTTACAAACTTTTGACTGAATGTTGCTGTTTCTTTAATAGCTTAGGTTTTACGAGAGTTGACCTTAAGCCCAACTTAATCGAACCAAACAGGACGGAAAGAGTGAACTTGAAACTCGCATTGAACGTTTTAAGACAAATACTTAGATTTGTGATCACGATAGATTGCGTGAAATTTCTTTGGCTGTACTGGACACCTCCCCTCAACAACGGATTTTATTTTCAGTCCAGCTTTGTTCCATCTGATCTACATTTGTCTTTCAATGTCTTCTTTAAAGAATACGAATGAGTTTGCTATATATTTATACCACAGTTTACAACCCAACGCTTTTCCAAGTATGAGGGGTTCTTTCATCACTGTCTGTGTAATCTTGTTCGAGTTTTGCACAATCTTAGTTAATGCTTTTCCTTTTAATTTTTTTCAGCGACCCAGAATTGGTGGGGCACCAAGCGAGTAGACTATGCTCTGTATTGTCCCGAGGGACTTCAGCAGTTTCCCACAGCTGTCCTCTCGCCTCTCTTCCATGTCAGCTACTGGGAGTCCAGTGACGTGGCTGCATTTGTCGTCAGACAGGTTAGAGAAAAACCGGTTTCACTCTGGCTTGAACTTGTTGTCAGAACTCCATAGCATTTGATCTAATACGAAAGTCACCTTCGATGCAACCAAAAGGCCCCATCCATACTACGTCGGAGAAGTTTGAAAACGCAGCTTTATTTCTACGGTTAGGCGTACCCTCCACACTAATCCGTCATGAAAACGGAGCTTTTCGAACACGTTAAGTCTTCAAACCGGAGGAATTTGAAAACGTCGGCTTTCCGTTATAGTGTGGACGGAAAACATTTTGAAAACGGAGCTTTTCGAAAACAATGACGTCACGATCATCATGTGATATTCCGTGACCGAGTTTTCCTCAAACACAAATCCAAAAACGACTGGTCATTGTTGCGTTTTCAAATTTCTCCGGCGCACTGTATACAGAAAACATTTGATGCGTTTTCAGAGTGAAAACGCCGCTTTAGTGTGTTCGTGGCCTAAGATACCGCTCCAACTGACAGTCGAATCAGTCTTTTTACGGACACCTCCGTGATACGAACACGTCTATATTACGGAAAGTTTGCGTGAACCCAGAGAAAGCAGAATTCATATCTTTACTTCTATACGGACAGCTTCATAACACGGATGCTCAGTTTTTGCCCCTTGGTGTCTGTATGAAAGAGATCGAACTGTATTGTAAAATGGAAGTTGTTTTTAAAAGTATCGTCAGTAAAACTCCGAAAAGTAGCGACGTCAAACGCAATTTGAAGAGAAAAGAAGATGGCGAGTGCAACTAGCTACAACAAAACGATCTCCATGACATTTATTTCAGATTATACCTATTGCAAAGGCAATAAAAAGTTTTGTTCTGTTTTGACGTAGCATAAGCTCAGTTTTGAACAAGTTTTAATCATTTTTGACTCTCTATATGTTAAAAACATTCTTACATGATTTATCAACCTTGGATGTGTTGAAATATGGTATACGTTTTAGCTATCCGTAAGGTTACGACCCTCGGAATATAGCGACACGAAAAGACCGCGAAATCCTAGAGTAACAAGTGTTGCTAAAGGTATTCCACTCGTTACATTGCGTTTTTGTCAATGCAGTTTTCTGCTGTTCTTTCACACAGATTCTTCATGGGGAGTGGGACATTTCAAGTGTTTCGTCTCCCAATAAAAGAATCCAAACGTTTAGTCCTTCCGAGCCCAGAGAGAAGTGGTTAAAACGAAGAACTGCCATCAAAATCAAGGTATTTTGGTTCTATTAGATGTTCCTAATGGTGGTATATGAAAAAAAAAACCCTTCCGTTTGTAGAGTGCGTTGATATCTCGCTCTATTTCTAGAAAAGTGAGGCATGTAACACAAGTCTCGTGCTGATGTTATATTATTCTCTTGAGTAACCTTCTGGAAGTAACAGCAGGTCAATTTTTACTTTCTCGCCAACGAACTTTGCGAGCGAAATTTAAACTTATTGCACAGCCCAGTTGTCCAGTTTTGTGGAATATCTGGGAATCTGGTATATAAGAAAGTAAAAAAAGCTTTTCAAAACGAAAAAAAAACTAGAGGCGAAACAAAAAGGAGCAAACTTTTGTGTTAAATGTTACCCCTAAGATTTACAATTACGCCAGTTTTTGTTTGAAAGGTTACACTTGAAAGAGTTGTAGTAAAGAGTAAAAGAGTAAAAAAAGTTTTCGAATAAGAGTTTCATCAAGAGCAACACATGAGTACTTCCAGCTGCTATAAGAATCAGAATGGGAATTATTTTGACAAGAATTGCATTGCTATATATCAGCTCAAGACTTCTGACCAACAAGAATGCTAAATAATGCTCATATTGCTTTTTATTTTCTCGACAGAACCTGAACGCCAATCATAGAGCTAATGACCGGGTTATACTTGAAGGTGTTGACCAGTGTCTCTCAGCAAGGTTCATGTATGGACCTCTGGACATGGTGTCTCTTAGTAACGAGAAGGTAATAAACCTTTCTCTTAGCCCCTACGTAAATGGCTCCTAGCAACTTGGGTTGGATATTCAGTTTTACATAATAATGAATGCGCGCGCTCTGATTGGTCAATCAGCTATGGTTTATTGTGCCAGTAAACTCATGGAAATTTTGTGTGTCTTCTGAATTATTATGTAAAAGCAATAGACCACAGGTTTCTATGGTTTAGAGGCAGATAAACCACTTGAGGTGTTGGAAGAACGCTCGAAGAATTCTTCGAGTGTTCTTCCAACATCCCGCGTGGTTTATCAGCTTATAAACCATAAAAACTTGTGGTCTATTGCTTAATGGTTTATTGACATTGATCTGTTTTAGGTTGATATTTACGTCATGACCCAGCCCCCCTCGGGTGAGTACGTTTTGTTCGACACCGTAGTCACCGGAAGTGGAGGAAGATTATCGTGTACCATTGCTGAAGAGAAGAAGCTTCCGGTAGGGATTTACCCTGTCAAGTTGGTTGTAAGGTATGTAACGCGTCAAACTTAACTCGCCTCAGCAAACACTAAAAAAATTAGTGTAACCCGTATGAGACTCCTTGCTGGGAGCATTCCTAACTCCCGAAGATGTTGAATTTGAGCCATTGGTCATAAGGTTGACACTGAACACGTTTTAGAGCGCTTTTCACTTGCGTGTTGAAAGTAACTGGATTGTCTGTGTCCTTTGTGATTGGCCAGACTGATTACTTTGGTTTTGGTTTTAGGGCACTTCATTGAAAACCGTTGTTTTCAACCGTACTATAATACGTGGTAATATTAAAGCATCTGCGTTCGTTTATGACTTCTTTCTGTCCCGTTGTCTTTATCTTGTCATGTTTTATCGTCATCAAAAGATAGTTTTGTATGCTGTAAGCCGCACAAAAAGAAGTCATATATCCCATCTAAAAAGTCATGTGGTCGCTCTAACCCCAAACCTTTTGAGGCCGTGTTTGTGTCTACTTGGTGCTAAGGTGAAGGGTAATCTCCGCACTTATTGTACATTGCCAAGTAGACAGGTTACCAGAAGGAAAAGTATTGAACTGCTATCGTCTTGATTCTGAGAACAATCGTGTGACATTTAGTAACGAGAATTAATATTTCAAGCTTTCTGTTTTCAGAGGCGATCATACTTGGGTAGACAGCAACCTGGCCGTTTTACCGCCCAAGACAGAGGCGGTGGTATTCAGTATCGACGGCTCATTTGCGGCCAGCGTCTCCATTCGTGGAAAAGACCCAAAAGTCCGTGCAGGTGCCGTGGATGTCGTAAGGTAAGTTCTGGCAAGTACTCTGTTTTGTGTTGTCGTACAACTCAGCTACGAAAAGGGTGGTAAACGTCCCTCACATCGCGAACTTGTCACAACAAAATAAGACAGAAAAAGCAGCATTTCAGTTCCTTTTATGCTGTACGAGGAAAGCGTGTTATGGTGATAAATCATCAGTATAGCAGGGTATTTGGAAAGGAAATTCCTGTAGAAAGAAACGCTCCCTTCTTGTTATGATATTTAAACGTACCACTCCTCCCCCTCCAAACCCTGTTGTGGTAAGATTATTTTACTTCCTTGCCGTCCCCTCCTCAGTCAAGTTTTCTTTCCTTATAGGCATTGGCAGGAGTTAGGATTCTTGATCGTGTACGTCACAAGTAGACCTGATTTTCAAAAGATGAAGGTTATGGCTTGGCTTGCTGAGCATAACTTCCCCTATGGGCTTGTTACGTTTGGTAATGGCATCTCAAAGGATCTTCAGAGACATAAAACCGAGTTTCTTCGTTATCTAGTCAACGATGTAAGTAATTTGTTAGTGTATAAAGCGCGGTCTAGACGAAGGTTTGAACGATGAGTGTACTGTGATTGCCCTCCAACTCCTCGTGAGCATGGGTGAAGCGAGATAAAACTCTCGACAGCTTTCAAGGCAAATTTGAGTAGGTTTATATTCCACGCAAGCGCGCGAGAGTCGACGAGAGTCACCGGTAGCGCACGAGAGTCTGCGAAAATTCGATGGGAGTCCCCGAGAGCTCACGAAAGTCACACGAGAGTCAGAGCAACACGAGAGCTCAGAGCAACACGAGAGCTCTGAGCAACACGAAAGCGGGAGTTTGAAATCTTGTCAACTGATGCTTGACAAGAGTTTACGGAAAACGAGTTTGGAGATATAATAGTGAATAATAAATATAAGACAGAGATAATGAAATGGACGGAACCACAATCTTGCTCCCATTGTAGAATTAGGGATACACTGTTGTTTTCTATTAAATACTTGTTTGTTTATTCTTAGTGTCAAGTGCTGATCCACGCAGCGTACGGATCAGTGAAAGACATATCAGTGTATGCATCTGTTGGTGTCAAGCCGCATCAGATATACACCGTGGGAAAACACCATCCAAGGAAATACGCAAAACAAGCTCAGGTAAGTGTTGGCGTCTCTTTTGAGCTGTTCAAATTCGGGTAAAAGGAGGTCTTGAAGTATTGTATCCCCGAGATGCTAGGAAAATCGAACAAGAACGTACCTCTCAATGGTAGCTGTCTTTGATTTCCGGTTGGAACACTAGAGTTACACGAGTGCGCAGGGCTTACATCCATTTAGACTTTGCTCGCGCGTAAAGTTAGCATTTCAAACCAGAAACCCAAATGATCGACTTAGCGTAAGTTTAGAAGTTACTGGAGGCGCCATGGCTTGATGGTTAGTGCGCTGAATCTCGGATCGAGTGGTGTGGGTTTGAGCTCGTGGTCGATGTGTTGTGTTGTGCGGCAAAACACTTTGTTCTTACAATAATCCTCTCTATGCAAAAGCGTAAAGGAGTACTGGCGAACTGTTGAAGCAACTCGACAGAATCCTAAACGTTTACTTGCAATGGGCTATAGTCGCGCAATGCCACAGAAAGCGCAGTTGCTTCGTCCAGTGCATTGGACTAGAACATACTTTAACTGCTGAAAAGATTATGAATCTCAATCAACCATTTTTTGTTGTTGTTTTCAGTTCTTAAAGGATGGCTATGCAGCTCATCTAACCGCACTTTCTAGTGAAACAATCTCCAGACCTGCTGTGGGAAATTCTCGTTTGATTCTCAGGCGAGGTTGTTTCGGCCTACCCTCGCGTGCGTCCAAGACGAGACACAAGATCAAACGTTCTATTTCAGACAGGCCCTCACCTGATTCCGATAAAGAGTGCTCGTCAACCTTATCGGGAACATTCAATTACTCTTCCTTTAGATACACTAAGGGGCGATCTGTGAGCAAGTTTGATGAACAATAGCTTTTCAAGGTATCTTTGTTGGTAAGAAATGTTCCACTTTAGCATTGAATCTAGAGAATCGATGCGTGTAGTTTAAGATAGTTTTTCTTCCTTATTAGGATGTGCGTCATGGTTTTCTGAGGCGGGAGAAAAACAAGATGTTGGCCCGCGGGTAACGCGCGTGTCGTTCGCCTGTCGCGCGAGGTGGGTGAAGAAACCACTGCTGTTTTCAAACTGTTAAACAGCCTCTTTACTTGTGTTTGGCAAAAAACGGCTAACCTTTTATATGACAGGAACTTAATTAATAATTTTTCTTTCGAGGCCGCCAACGTCATGCGACACTTCGCTCACTGAAATGTTGCGTGACATCCCAAATGACGTTTATGAATCAGAATAAACTAATTAGGGGCTCTTAAAGCAAGCGTATCTGTCTTCACGGGCTTGCCAATTATAGTTCATCTTACTTTATTTTTTAAACGGTCAAAACATATTTATGCATGACAAAGACACCGTGGCGAGAGTGGGACAGCAACGATTTTCGCTTCTCTGAAAAGGAGCTCAGTCACGGTATTTTGAAATATTTTGGCCGCGTACAAAACTATCTTTAAATTGAAGGAAACCTGAAATAATATATAACTAAGACAGAAAAACACCAAAGAGATGCTAGTAAATCGTAAAGGAGCAAGAATGGTTAAGAGTGGAGAGGATTGACGCGGATTACAAACGACAAGCTTGAAAAATTTAGGCTAAGATTTTCAAGATGCGCAAACCGTGACGTAGCTCCTTTTTAAGAGGTTGCGTGACGACGCAAAGAATGTTTTCGAACTGGTCATGAAGTAGGCGAAGATTTCGTGTCATTTTATCACGTTGTCACGTAATCTTGTCACAATATCACCACACGTAACCAAGTAACCTCGCTGAACTGTTAGGTTCTCTCTCAGTTTTCGTCCCTTTTCTTTCCCTCACGGTCTCTCGAGTATTTGGCTAAATGTTCCTGTACTTGTTTGTTCAAGCAGTTGTAAATAATACTTAGAGTGTATCTATAACCAAATAGTTAGTTGTAAATGTTATTCATTTGTAAATTTTTGTAGATACAAGGTGTAGTTTTTCCTGAACTTTAACTGCGGAGTGCTCCTTCGTTATTTTCCCAGTAGTTAGGTAACGTTATTTAAGTTGAAACTATCAGTAACTAAAAAGTATACTCTGAAAGTTGTCTGTGTGTATAATAGAGAAGAAACGAAATCAAAATTTCTCGAAGACTTGATCTTCCTGAAGAGAGCAGATATACCAATTTTAAAACAAATACCTTAATAATAATATCTAGATACAGATTTAAGGTATACACTTATCACACCTGGCTGGTCCAATCACAATCGAGTATTTTACTGATGGTGTGTTTTAGTGGTCTAGGCTGCGTCCAGTACTTTTGACAAATGTATTTAATTAAAAAATTATGTGATTAATTGAAAAAATCTAATTTTGATTATAAATTTGATGTTATTCGAATGCAATATCATTGGATGTTCTGTTCAGTTTGCTTTTCCCATTTGTAACATCGGTAGATTTTATAAATGAAACTTCTTTTTTATTATACAGACCACACTGTAATGTTATCATTGCCAACAAAATCTAAACCGCAAAAACGGAAATCTTCCCAGAAAGTAAAAGACGGCTTGTAAAAACTTGTGCATAATTGTCTCTGTTTGCCGGGAACCCGAAATCGCCTTGTTGCCGCTTTCGAAAAGTGTTTTATCGACCGAATTATAAAGGGACTGTACATTGTGAGTTACAAGGATATTTAAAGATAATAATAATTTAAATTAATTTATAGGATCAATGATTTACTCTTGAAATGTTCACTTATTTATGGACTTAACTGTTGAGTCTTGCTGAAAAATATGCTATCTGGTAATATGGCATTAATTTATTCCTTTGGAAATCACCAAGAATTTTTTCTACAACCATTTCTCGGCGGAATCATTCCGTTAACCGAAGGCTGTCACGTGTTGCGTTCAAATTCCATTCACTGATTGGTCGGGTAAAGTTGTCGGTGTTTTTCATTGGTCCATAGCACGTGAACAGTAAATGAAACGCTGGCATTTCTCTACTGTATCACGTGTGCTCTTAACGGGAGAGTGTTTATATGGTCGTTGTATCACGTGACCCAGTTTTTACAACCAGTCGAAGCATAGGAAAGTTCTTGGTGTGTTCAAACATAAAAGTAACAATAGAGGTTTGTGTGTGCCTCACTTTAAATAACTCAGGGTGATGTAAACACTTGAGTGACCTGGTGAACATCCCAGTCTCTGAGGTTCGCGTGTTTACATTACGCTGTCTCTTCATTTTCCTAAAATAACATTTTCTTGTTCAACTGAACGTTGAAAATACCTGTAGTGTGAGATTCTGCCTGTTTTCGTCTTAAGGGACCTCGTGATATTTGTACCACGCTCTTATTTTTTTTTAGTTTTCTTTTCTTTATTTGAAGAGTTTTAAATTTACGTAGCTTATTAAATATCTAAAGCAGTCGTTAGGATGTGCATTGTTTGTAATATATCTACCTTTTAAGATTGTTGCAATGTATTAAAGTTTTGTGTTAATATAGCTGATCTAAACAGATATTCGCTTTAGCAACTTTTTGTAGATTAGCGTGCTGATTATTTAAATACAATTTAAATAATCTTGTTTTCTTGAATAATTGTTCCTCTTCGAAATTTCACCCCTTCTTTTGTCGCATCAAAATGTTATCCAGTTAGAAAATCATCTTTGAATCGTCAGCTACAGCAAAGTTACTGAAACAGGCTCCATGTATTTGTCTTTTTTTCGATGATCGGCAGAGCTCTATAATGAACGCGTCCTTCGCCGTGTAAGGGAGCTCAGCCACAGTATTTTGAGTTATCTTGGCGATGTACAAAATTGCCTTAAATTGAAGAAAACTTGAAAATAATAGTTTACTAAGATAGAAAAACACCAAAAAGATAATAATAAGCCATAAAGAAACAAGGATGGCTGAGGATGGAGAAGATTAACACGGATTACAAACGACGACCTTGAAAAATTTAGGCTAAACTTATCAAGATGCGCAAACTGTGACTGAGCGCCTTTAATCAAAAGTGATTTCTTCGGCTCTTATTCTAATCGAGGAAATGCGTTTTTCCGATCACAAAGTACTGCTTTTTGACTTTTTGACTCGTGGTTTCGATTCTGAAGTTCTTTCTAAAATGACCTTTCTACTCGATCAATCTGAAGTACTCTTTTTACATTAGCATCTTCGAAGAGTGAAACAATTTGCTTGCGGTCCTTTCTGCTTTCATACTCGGTCTGCTCTCGTTATAACGAACAAACTCAGAATCGAGCCCGACCTGGTGTCCGTAATAGTTTAACACTTTTTTTGGCATCCGTTCGTTTAGTCCCAATATCACCAGAAGTCGACTATTTCTCGTTCTTTGCATGAATATGAAAATACGAGAGTGAATGCTAAGGGCCAACTGGATTGGGTGCGAGATGTTCACAATTCTCTCTCTCGATAATGCACGGTAAAGCTTGAAAATTGTATTTTGGGGCCAATCGACCTCCGGTTGGGGGCTAACCGCCTGCGGCTAATCGGCTTGGGGGCTAAACGACTTGTATTCCTTTTTTTTTTTTCGGTAAATTGTCTATAAAATTTCTCTTGGACTTCATTCAGTTACTGTATGTCTGTAACAGCCTGGGTTCTGCAAATTTTGCTGTCTCGAGCAAGGCGGATCGATGCAAGAGTGGACGGTAGAGTTGTCAAAATTAAGGCAAATGACATGGATTATTTGTAACTCTAATTTGGCTGATAACCCGCCGGTTATGCACAGAACTTTGTGCTCGTATCTTCTCTTACCTAAGGCTAACGCTCAAAAAGTCAGATTCACTAACAAGTTACGGTGGTTAATTTAACTTTATAAATTTCAATGCAAGTTGATAAATAGAAGACTGAGTTCTTCTTTAACCGAAGTTCTATGTCCCGCCTCGAAGTGGACAACATTATTCGAACCGCATGGTGGAAGCCTTTGTTTCACTGTAATTGTTTCAGTCGAAGCACTCAAGTCGACAAGAAAACTGTTAGCTGAAAAAAATGAAACGCAAATTTGGTAGAGAGCGTTGGTAGAAATTTCTTCTCTCAATAACAATTATTAAAGAGCAGTTGGTTTGCTTTGTGAATGAAACCACCTTCACCAAGTTCAAACTGCTTAATTTCATACGTGTACTTAGCTAAAATAAAACTTCATTGTTTGATTAGCCATTGGGCTGGAGGATTCATTTTGATGCCAAAAGGGGTTCTTTTCAATGTTCATGTTCTACTGTGAAAAACTGATGTATCATCAGAAAAATTTCTGACATATCTTAACTTTGCCAGTGATTTCCTTGAAGTCTCCGGCACGGCCGCACCGAACAAATATTAGTTTAGCATACGTGACAATGGAGTCTTCATGACCAGAAATAACGCGATAAGGTTTTGTTCAAAAGCCGAGAAAAAGATAACGTGAATGACCGCCCATTTTGAAATATCGCCACAACAACATGTTCAAAAGTCTGGAATTTATCCAATTAACCAGCTGGCTAAATTCTCGCTTGTTGGCCTAAGAAACGACCCTTCATTTCAGCCCGTATTTAAAAACCTTTTGTTATTTTCCTAATGACAAACAATGAATGGTCGTCTGGGTCATTTTAAGTGCGCTTAATAGTGTGGGACACTGCTTTTGTTTGCTCGGCTGTTTTCTAAAGTTGATTTGTCTATTGTTCCTAAAGATACCGGAGTTTTTTACAAGGTATGAAGATAATCCGTGGGAGGAAATTAAAAAACGCCACAATAAACGTTAAAATATCGCCCGAGAGGAGGGGCTTTGTAGTTTTTCGCGAGAATAAAACATCAGACCGGAAAACAGTTAATCCCGTACGATTCGATTTAAACTGCAGCCTTCATTTTCGCTTTTGAATTGACCATCACAATTTAGCTATAATCGTGTAAATATTAAAAGACCTGTTTCAAAACTGAAGAACTGAAATGAACTTAAAAGCCTTAACCACAGAGTGTTAAAAGCCTGGGAACAGACAGTCAGGGTATTCAATCATTGTGTGTTCTATAATTCAATGAGATGTTTGAAGAAAGTTCCATATATTTTCTCTTTGGCTTTCTTTTTTTAAGACAACCAAAAATTGAATAAAAAATAAAGCAGCAAATTGGCGTACTTCTGACATTCTTACATAACAGCCAAAGAAGTAAACTTTTCAAAAGAATTGTCAGTTTTTCTTCCAGTAAGTTCAATGCGGGACGTTGTGAAAATTTTGACAGGTGGCAATTTGTTCTCGAAGCTCCATCGACCACTTATTGCCACCTGGAATGGATGGTTATTACAACTTATTGTTTGAAATCCTGAAATTTTAATGAAGAGTAAAACAAAAGGTGTTTAAGATGGTGCTCAACTCATAAGCTAACAAAATAAATTCAAAGTCTATGTCAGCTCGCGCTAAGAAACACGGTACCATGCCTTGTTTTAAAATGGTGTCCCTGCAAATTTCAATCTCTTATTGATTTTAAAAAGTTGTATCGTTAATCCTCGCGAAGTCTAAACATGTTAACGCGTCGTGGAAAAAAACTGGTACCTGGCAGCTTGTACGAATGTCATCATTAATGCGAGAATTTTAATGGAGGCTTTTCACTTTAGGAGTGAATTTACTCGCAACTGACAAACAATGAACCAGTCCTTTGATAGCATTTGTACAAACTTTCAACTCTCTGATTTGATGCCTGATGAAGAAATCTGGTCTATACCTGCCATCTTTCCTTATTGAGATAGCTGGTGGGATTAAGTCATTGATTGTATACGCAGATTGCATCAGCTCCTGTTGAAAAATTTGAATTTAGTCAGCAGTGTTTTGCTATACACCTCACACCAATTTTAAGAGCTTGGCCGGTCTGCAGACAATACTTGTTCGTCACAAAGTAGACGGATTCGAAGGCATTTTAGATAGAGGATAGTTTGCAAATTAGGCAGTCAGAGTTTTCTTTCTTCTCCTCTTTTTTGGTTTTGGCACCAACAGGGACAACACGCGCACCGCTAGCTAAGAAACGTAGAAAATGTATTCCGCAAAATAGAAGTATTAAGTACGATAGACCCTTGTGCAATAGACTTAATCTTATATTTGTGAACGGTTTCTCGCTCTACCAAGCAACTGGAAAGAAAAGCTAGTTTAACTTCAAAGCCAGTTTGGAAGTGTTTGCAAATCAGGGTATGAACTCGAAAATGATCTGTTTACGAGAAATAACTGAAGAAATGCTATTCACTTCACGTCCGCTCGTTTTCTTTCACTTTTGAGACGGTCGGGAAAATACAGAATAATCTAGGCGACTATAGCCTTCAAATACTGCCGCCTAAGGCCTAAAGACCCCGCCGGTTGGATTCGATGGCTCGCTGGCCAGAGCAAAGGCAATAAGAGTGAAGGCATTACACCGTGACAGTTATGCGAATGAGCGAACGCACCAATCAAATGAAGCCGATTTTCACGACAGAGAAGTGTGAAATGTCTGTCCGTGAATCTTCAAAGCCATGAATTTGTCCTACTGGTTTCGTGTGAGCGCTGAAAACATTTTTCCACGATGAATTCGCCAAATACACCGCTCTACAAGGACATTGTAATGGATTTTTCGCAACTTCCGTCGATGGAGACCACGTGGAAGCGAGGTAGGATGGGATTTGTTGAAGCGGTAGCGACGCAGACGCTTTGTCCAGTTCACACGCACTGTTCGACCGTTAAGCTGTTGTGAAATGAGTCTAAAGGACTCCATAAAAGAATAGCTGGAAAAATTCTCAGCTCCCTGCCTCTATTTGGCTAAAATTGACGGTCTTATGTTAAAACACAATCACTTCCCGAAAGATTAAACCATGGTAATGCTTTTGAATTAGGGATGATTATCACGATACGCTATATTTCCGATAAAACAACTTCAAAAGTTGTTACAAGGTGCCAAGGGAACCGTCAAAAGGTTAACACATTGAGCCTCAAAAGTCTGGATCAACTGATAACTGATACTAGTGTAATTGAGGATGATCACCCCACGATTTCAACAAATTCTCCCAATTATGACTATGAGAAATGTATAGAGATCAGCAAGAGATATTTGCTTTTGATCACGTGATCAGAAAGACTGAATTCAAGAAACTTAGTGATAGGGCGAGTGAGTGGGTAAAGCGTGCGTGAATGGGTGAACGTGACAGAATGCTAAAATAAGTGGTTGGAAGAGTAGATCAAAAAAATGTCTAATAGCGATATTATGGCTACATATGCTTGATCGTCTGCGGCGAGCCAAGTGACCCATATCGCTGAAGCAGTTTACACCTGAACTGATTTATATACCTGCATGGGTGGAGAGAGGCATTGTGAGAATTAACTGCCTTTCTCAAGAGCACAATGAAAAACCGGTCGGGGATCAACTGAGCTCACCAGCTCACCAACCCTTCGGACTAACCTTCAAGATTACCTTCAGCTTGTTAAAAAGTATTTGAATTCCGGGAAGAGAATTACGTCTTTTTTATGACAATAGATAAAGAAAGTGTTGATCTTCTTGTATGAAGTCATTTCTTTGCACAAAA